CGTGTTACTTGTTTTTAAAAGGTTCTGTTTTTTTTTTTTTTTTTTTTTTTTTGCTGCTTCAGAGGCTTCAGAGATAATGAAGAGCATTGGGGAAGCCATCCAGTACCTACACTCGATCAACATAGCACACCGGGACGTGAAGGTACTGTGCTGCATGCTCGCCTGGCGGTGCCAAGCCCCGCTTGGCCCGTGGCAATGCCGAGCTCACTACTCGGAGCTCACTACTGGCTCTTCTGCTCACTACTTCTTCCCTGTGTTTTCACAGCCGGAAAACCTCTTGTACACCTCCAAAAGGCCCAACGCTGTGCTAAAGCTCACGGACTTTGGCTTTGCTAAAGAAACCACCACGCACAACTCCTTGGCCACTCCGTGCTACACGCCGTACTACGTGGGTAAGTGGGTGGGTGGTCTGAGCTTGCAGGTTTGCAGGGCTGGAGGGCAGAGCTGGGGAGGTTTGGACGGTGCCATGCGCAGCCCGTCACCTCTGCATCCAGCCCGGGGCCTCAGTCTCACCGTTGGGTGCAACTCCTGTCTGGGATGCTTGGGGCTGGGGGCTGCTTTGGGTGCAGGTGGGTGCTGTGTTTGCTGCTCACTGGTGCATGCAGGACAGGCTGCTCTGAGCATAGTGTCGGTGTGTGCAGCCGATACGTTCATACCCGTGCTGCAGCCTCCCTCGTGCTGTGCTCGAGGCTGTGAGGTGGCACCACCCTGCAGCGCTCCTGCCTCTGCTGCCTGCATGGCCACGCTGAAGCCTGTGCAGCAGCGCTTGCACCGCTCTGCGCAGGGCTGCCGAGACGGCACGGAGCTGCAGGCAGCTCTTTGGCCGCTCCATGGGGTGGTTGGATCCTTCTCACCTGGCCCTGCCACTTTGACTCAGGACTTTGTTTTTCTCTTTACCAGCCCCGGAGGTGCTGGGCCCAGAGAAGTACGACAAGTCCTGCGACATGTGGTCCCTCGGCGTCATCATGTACATTCTGTAAGTCTGTCGAGTCCCACTCTGTCCTGCCGGGGTCAGAAGTGGGGATGCAGCTTTCGAGCTTGTCTGCTGGCTGGTGGGGCTGAACCTTTCCCAGCTGCTCTGCTCCTGGCACTGCCCCGTGCCCCGCAGGCGCTGCTGGGGAGGGTTTTGGGGTGACGCATTGACTCTGCTCCCTCCCCTGTGCAGGCTGTGCGGGTACCCCCCCTTCTACTCCAACCACGGCCTAGCCATCTCGCCTGGCATGAAGAAGCGAATCCGAATGGGCCAGTACGAGTTTCCCAACCCTGAATGGTCCGAAGTGTCGGAGGAAGGTAAATGCGGTCCCCGTGTTGGCTTGTCCCTGGGCTGAGGTCTCCCTTTGGGGTCAGCCCTGCGTCCAGCAGTGCTGCAAAGGCTGGGGGGAGCCTGGGCACGTCCTGGGTCACCTCTCAGGGATGCAGCAGCTTCGCCTCTTTGCTCAAGAGGGTTTTGCTGAAGGGTCTGACGAGGATGAGGTCTGTGGCACGGAGGGGACGGGAGGCACGTGCAGGCATTTTGGGGCTGCTGGCTTGGGTCGGAGCATGGGGAGAGCCATCCTGGGACCTGCTAATGCCCAGTCCTGCACAAACCCTTCCAGTTAAGCAGCTGATTCGCAACCTGCTGAAGACAGATCCGACCCAGCGCATGACGATAACGGAGTTCATGAACCACCCCTGGATCATGGTGAGTGCAGGGTTGATGAAGCAGCGGGATGGGATGGGATGCCTGCAGCTCTCGGCCAACGCTCCTCCGCTCTCTTGGCAGCAATCCATGCAGGTGCCCCAGACCCCGCTGCACACCAGCCGCGTGCTGAAAGAGGAAAAGGATCTGTGGGAGGACGTGAAGGTAAAACCTCTCTCCATTGCTATCTGAAACGCTCTGGGCCCCGGGTGCCATCTGGGGACTGTCTGCTTCTGCCTTCTCACTGCAAACTGGGCTAATTCGGGCTTGGTGCAAGTGTGCTGGCTCCTGGGGAGATCTGGGAGGGGGCTGGAAAAATTGGCGGTGGGACCCTCAGCCTCTGCTGCAATTTTGTTCCCGCTGGGGGTTGAAGCGGGGCAGGTGCCCTGGGGGTCCGGGGGGGCTGCGGGCTGTGCCCACACAGGGCTTTGCTGACGGTGCTGCCTGTGCTGCCTGCCTGCAGGAGGAGATGACGAGCGCGCTGGCCACCATGCGAGTGGACTACGAACAAATCAAGATCAAGAAAATTGAAGATTCCTCGAACCCTTTGCTGATGAAGAGGCGGAAGAAAGCAAACCCCACCGAGCCTGCCGCGCTCCCCCACTGAGGGTGCCCCGCGCCCACCGGCCCTTGAGAAAGCAATAACTATATATATATATTTTTTAAGAAAAAAGACAAAAAGAGACAGACTGTTATATCAAGCGCATGGAATTCAGACATTTATACCAGACTAGTTATTTTTAGCTACTCACCTGTGTTTCTGACCTTGCTGGAGCAGGCGGTAAGATCCCCCCATCAGATCCACATGCTGCGGCCGGGGGTTTTGTCCTGTAGGTGAACGCCGCTGATAATTGGATTTCTTTTCTTTTGTGAAACAGTTTTGATTTTTATTTTTTTTTTTTCCTTCCTTCCAAAGACATGGAAATTCCTGTGGTGACCTTTTTAGGGTATATGACATATAAATATTTTTTAAAAGCTACTGTAGAACTGAAACCCAGACAGTGTGTTTCCTGCGTGGATGCTGGCTAGAGATGGGCTTTGGGCTTGGGAGCAGGTCAGGGGGACGGGGAAGGAGAGCTGCCTTTTCTTCCATCCCACTGTGCATGGCAGGGCTGGCGCGGGGGGTCCCTGTGGCCACCGTGCTTCTTTGCTGGCCTGGAAAACTGCTGCTTTTAAAGCACGGTAGCCAAAACCACCCCCAATCCCTCCCTGACCTGGAAGCCTTGACCCTACCCGGTGGCACGCAGGGCCCCCCGCGGGCGCCGTCTGTGTCGCTGTCTGTCTGTGCGTTGGGGTGTGTGTCGTGTCCGTGGGCGCGGAGCTGCGCGTGGCTCCCCCCTCGCCGTGGCCGCTGCAGCCTGTACCCGTGCCTGGGAACCCGTTCTGGCCTCA